CTCTCTCTCTCGTGAGTGTGTGTGTGTGTGTGTGTGTGTGTGTGTGTCCAAGGTTGATGCTGGGCATCTCTTCCCTCTTTTTTATCCTTATTTACTCTAGTTACTTTTCAGGTTTTTAAAACTTATTTTTTGCCGGGCGGTGGTGGCACGTGCCTTTAATCCCAGCACTTGGGAGGCAGAGGCAGGCAGATCTCTGTGAGTTCGAGGCCAGCCTGGGCTACAAATCGAGTTCCAGGAAAAGGCGCAAAGCTACACAGAGAAACCCTATCTCGGAAAACAAACAAAAAACAACAACAACAAAAAAACAAACAAACAAACAAAAAAAACACACACAAAAAAAAAACCTTTTTTAAATTAAAATATAATTACACCATTTCCCCTCCTCCCTTTTCTCCCACCAACTCCTTTCATGTAACTCCTCCCTTGCTTTCTTTAAAATTTATAGTCTATTTTTCTTTTCTTTTTTATACACACACACAGAGGCACACACAGACATTACTAAGTAAATAAATATGACTTGCTCAGGTACCATGTAATTTAGAGCTAGTCCTCAGGGAGCTAGCTTTCATGTCAGATGCTGCTCAGACCATGCAGGTCCTGTGTCCCAAGTAGATGATGTCTACAGATAGAGAGACTTCCCTTAAACCTCTGGGAAGCAACCAGAGACATCAGCAATAGCCTTGAGAGTCTTTTGACCAACAAATAAAAGCAGAGATTCTCATGGACAGTGTTGGGGTTTCTGTTAGATAGTCTCCAGGCCTTGCCAATCTGGATGAGAAAATTTTGTTTAAACTCTACCTGTATACTTGGACTTATATTATTATATCAGTTTTATGTAGGTAAATGCAGATAATATGATTCCTCTTGATGTTCTCAGATATCCTCACTGTTTATTTTACCCTCTTCCCCATTTTTCTTTAATTATTATTTCCCTTCTACTACCTGATTAACTCTCCATTTCCTCATTCAAATTACATGCATCTATCTCCCTCTCTCCTGCCTGCCCCTTTGGTAATCTCTGATTTTCCAGTTTTCTGGAGTTACGACAGGTTGTATATTCACATCTAAAGATTTGGTGATAGGAACTCCTGATGAAAGAACATTTGGTGCTTATCTTTCTAGGTCTGGTCTACTTCGCTCAGTATAATCTTTTCTCTTTCCATTCCTTTACCTACAAATCTCACAATTTTACTTTTCTTTACAGATTAATAATATTTCATAGTGTACATGTACCACATTTTCATTATTCACTAATCAATCAAAGGACTTTAAATTTGTGTCCATTTCCTAGATATTGTGAACAGAGTAACAATGATCATGATTAAGAAATTATCTGTGGAGTGGGATATTGGGTCCTTTGAACATATTACCAGGAGTAGTATATCTGGGTTTTGGGGGATTTAGTTTTAGCTTTCGGGACATACTTTACCACTGATGACCAGAATAATTGGATCATTTTGGAGCCCCACCAAGAGTAATAAATGTTCCCTGTTCCTCATCCTGCCCAGTAGCTCAGTTTTTCTTGTCATTTGAGTTTTGATCTTGACTGGGATAAGAGGAAATCACAAAATTATTTTGATTTGTATTTCCCTGCTTGCTTGGGATGATGGACATGTTTTGAAATTTTTCTTAGCCATTTCAGTTTCTTTATTTGAGAACTCTGTGCACAGTGACAGATACAGATCTATTTGTAGTCTTCTACATGTTGATATCCAGTTATGCCAGCACTAGTTGTTGAAGATGCTTTCTTTTTTTTCCATTGTACAGTTTCGGCTTCTTTGTTGAAAATATGTTCGTAAGTGTGAGAATTAATGTCAGTTCGGTTCCATTGGTCCCCATGTCGGTTTTTATGCCAGTACCAAGCTGTTTTTATTACTGTAGCTCTATAGCAGAGTTTGAAGTCAGGAATTGTGATGCCTCCAAAAGTTGTTTTATTGTACAGGATTATTTTGGCTATCCTGGGTTTTTTTGTTTTTCCATATGAAGTTGAGTATTATTCTTTCCAAGTCTGTGAAGAACTGTGCTGGGATTTTGATGGGGATTGCATTGAATCTGTATATTGCTTTTGGTAAGATTGCTATTTTTACTGTTAATCCTACCTATCCATGAGTATGGGAGAGCTTTCCATTTTCTGACATCTTCAATTTCTTTTTCAGGAACCTAAAGTTCTTGTCATATAGGTCCTTCACTTGCTTAGTTAGAGTTATCCCAAGGTATTTTATATCATTTGTGGCTAGTGTAAAGGGTGATGTATCTCTGATTTCTCTCTCAGCCGTTTTTCATTTGTATATAGGAAGGCTACTGATTTTTTTGAGTTAACTTGTATCCTGTTACATTACTGAAGGTATTTATAAGCTGTATGAGTTTCTTGGTAGAATTTTTGGAGTCAGGTCCAAAGCCATTTTTTTTTTTTTTTAAATTTTGGAATGGGTTGTTTTTGTTCTGTTTGTTTGCTCTTTTGAATCAGGCTTATTTGGGTTTGGGGGGGGGTGTTTTTGTTTTTTTGTTTTTTTTTTTTGAGGGGTATTTTTTTTTGTTACTTTTTTAGTATTTATGTAGTCTAGATATTATTCTTTGTGGTGGTTTAAAAGAAAATGGCCTTCAGAGAGAGTGACACTATTAGGAGGTGTGGCCTTATTAGAGTAAATGTGGTCTTGTTGGAGGAAATGTGTCACTGTGGAGGTGGACTTTGAGGTCTCGTATATATTCAAGCCACACCCAGTATTTCAATTCACTTTCTGTTGCCTTTGGGTCAAGATGTAAGGACTCTCAGCTCCAGCACCATGTCTGCCTGCATGCTGCTTTTCTTCCCACCATGATGATAATGGATTAAACCTCTGAGCTGTAAGTGAGCCAACCCAATTAAATGTTTTCCATTTTAAGAGTTGCCCGGGTCATGATGTCTCTTTACTACAATAGAAACCCTAACCATGGTTTCATTTGAAGGAGTATGGACCTTAGAATTGTAGAATAGAAAAGCAGTTAAACATTTTAAGTGCTACATTATGGGGCATCCTAGTAGGAGCATGGAAGGCAGTGGTGCTGAGTGTGATTTGAACTGGGGATGAGGGGGCTGGCTCAAGAGATTTCAGAGAATAATTTTAATATGTAGCTTAGAGATTGTTCTTGTGATATTTTGGTGAAGAATGTGGCTGCTTTTTGCCCTTGTCTGAAGATGCTGCTTGAGATTAAAAGGAAGAGGTTTGGATTAATTCTGTTGGCAGAGGAAATCTCAAAACAACTTAGCATAGACTCTGTCCTGTAGTTATTAGCGGTAATTATAATGAAGTTCTATAATGAAAAGAAGCAAGAAAATATAAAATTTGAAGAGAAAAGGAGCACCAGGAAGTGGAATGCAGCTAAATCCTACGTTCAAGGAGATAAACAGATTAAGAAATAGAATAACTAATTTGAGTCATGACCCCAGGGCAAGATCCATCCAGCTGACTTTTTAACTTGTGGAAAGGAATGAAAGAAAATCTTAGAGCTGGGTGTGGTGGTGCATGCCCTTAGTCCCAGAAATTCAGAGCCAGAGATTGGTAGGTCTCTGAGTTTGAGGCCAGAGCCTGGTCTAGAGATCTAGTTTCAGAACAACCAAGCTTAGACTGTGAAGGAAACCATTGAAAACAGAAAGTTGGTAAAGATATGATTGAACAAGGGAGCCATGTCCCAGCCATAGAAAGTAGCAGAACATGGCAGCTTTGCCACCTGTTCCTGGCTTTAGAGTCAAGGATAGAAGAATGGGTTATGAAATCTAACTCTGTAACAAGAAAAGCTGCTGAGGCCAGGCATGTGTCGGTGGTGTCCCTGAACAGAGGTCTAGAGA